AGCATCACTGAGTGAGGAGCAGAGCATCACTGAGTGAGGAGCATCACTGAGCACCGGAGCATCACTGAGCACCAGAGCATCACTGGGTGAGCACCGGAGCATCACTGAGCAGTGAAGCATCACTGAGTGAGGACCGGAGCATCACTGGGTGAGGAGCAGAGCATCACTGAGCCCAGATCATGGCATCATTGGATCACTGATCCAAAGGACCAGAGCATCACTGAATCCCTGAGTCAGGATTAGAGCAGCACCGGATCATTGATCCAGAGGATCAGGGCATCATTAGCTCATGGACCCAGAGGACCAGAGCACCATTGGATCACTGAGTCAACATCAGAGCATCGTGATGCAGTCAGATCAGAGCATCACTGGGCACTGACTCCACTGGGTTGGGAAAGAGCCTGAAGGCCAAGTCCAAGCCTCACATCAGGAAGTGCAGGGACAGGACAAGGGCTGATGGGGTCGAACCGGAGCAGTTGAACCCCATGCACTGAGCCCCGATGCCCACACAGAGGAGTGAGAGCCCCACAGGACCAGAGCCCTCCTCCCCGCCCCGGATCAGGAGGTGCCCATCTCCCCCCTTACCCCCCCCCAGCCACATGGAGCATTCCCAGTGCTGCTCCCGCTGGGAAGGGGCCCAGGTGATGGGATGGGCTCAGGGTTCCAAAGGTCACCTCCCTCTATTGACACAGCTGAGCCCTGCTCCCGCTGCAGGAGCAGGGAGTGATGGAGGGAAACAGGGAGACCCATCCCAGGCTTATCCCTTCTGGCCCCTTGCTTCCTTACCTCCCACTGCCCCGAAGCAGGAGCAGGGGCACTGGGAACCTGTGGGGTCAGAGCATCCGGAGCTCTGGAGCCTGCAGCAGTGTCCCTATGGAACTCACCTGCATGGGCTCAGTGCATGCAGAGCCTGCAGCAGTGTCCCTATGGATCTCACCTGCACGGGCTCAGTGCATGCAGAGCCTGCAGCAGTGTCCCTATGGATCTCACCTGCATGGGCTCAGTGCATGCAGAGCCTGCAGCAGTGTCCCTATGGATCTCACCTGCATGGGCTCAGTGCATGCAGAGCCTGCAGCAGTGTCCCTATGGATCTCACCTGCATGGGCTCAGTGCATGCAGAGCCTGCAGCAGTGTCCCTATGGATCTCACCTGCATGGGCTCAGTGCATCAGGAGCCTGCAGCAGTGTCCCTATGGATCTCACCTGCATGGGCTCAGTGCATGCAGAGCCTGCAGCAGTGTCCCTATGGATCTCACCTGCATGGGCTCAGTGCATGCAGAGCCTGCAGCAGTGTCCCTATGGATCTCACCTGCATGGGCTCAGTGCATCAGGAGCCTGCAGCAGTGTCCCTATGGATCTCACCTGCATGGGCTCAGTGCATGCAGAGCCTGCAGCAGTGTCCCTATGGATCTCACCTGCATGGGCTCAGTGCATGCAGAGCCTGCAGCAGTGTCCCTATGGGTCTCACCTGCATGGGCTCAGTGCATGCAGAGCCTGCAGCAGTGTCCCTATGGATCTCACCTGCATGGGCTCAGTGCATCAGGAGCCTGCAGCAGTGTCCCTATGGATCTCACCTGCATGGGCTCAGTGCATGCAGAGCCTGCAGCAGTGTCCCTATGGATCTCACCTGCATGGGCTCAGTGCATGCAGCGCCTGCAGCAGTGTCCCTATGGGTCTCACCTGCACGGGCTCCTCCAGGACACCGCTGCAGATGGGGCAGATGAGGTCCTCATCCACGTCCCCCTGGAAGCGCGCCACATCGTACCCCATCGCTCAGCACCGCCTCCGGGACCCTGTGCATGCAGACACCGCCGTTACGGGGGCATCCCATGGGAACGGGGGGGTGGAGGGAGCGGATCCCCCCCCCCATTCCCAAATCCCATCCCGAGGATGCTGCTCCCAGCTGCTCTGAGCCACAGGGATCCCATTGTAAGGAAAGGAGATCCCGACCTCAGCACCAGGAGCAATGGGAACGCGGGCACAGGGATCCCTCCAACAGGGACCAACCCCATGGCTTCCCTTGGGATTCTCCCACTGGGAAAGGGCCCCAGTCCCTCCCCATCCCTTTGGAGGCTGCTCCCAGCCCAAGCCTCAGCAGCTCCATTGGGTTCAAGCCCCCTTGGATGCTGGGAGCATCCTGACCCCAGGAGCATCCTGCACGGGCATCCCAGTATCCAACGGGACGGGCATTGAGCGCCAGCTCTCCAGAGCCACATTCCCAGTCCCAACAGGATCCTGGGAACAACGACCCGGGCGAGGCACTGCGGTGGCATCCAAGAGGATGCGTTCGGATCCATTGGGAAAAGGGCTTTGAGGGGAGACTGCAATGGGATTGGGGACAGCTCTTCCCTGTGAGGGTGGTGGGAGATGGGATGGGATGGACTGGGATGAGGACTGGGATGAGGTCGGGGATGAGGAGCGGGATGAGGAGCGGGGTGAGGAGGGGGATGAGGAGCGGGATGGGGAGCGGGATGAGGAACGGGATGAGGAGGGGGATGAGGAGCGGGATGAGGAGCGGGATGGGGAGCGGGGTGAGGAGCGGGATGGGGACCGGGATCCCATGGCACATCCCATGTTTGATGTCCCAGCCCTTTCCCAAAGCTTCCCAGAATCCCTTGGGGAACAGAGAGGGAAGAGGAAGGCACGGGCCGGGAATGATGCGGATCGGCCTTGGAAGAGGCCTGGATCCAAGGGGAACAGGGGCAGCTCCGCACTGGGAGCAAACCAACCCCGCCGGCATCCCCATGGGAAGCGCTGCTCACATCCCAGAATCCCTTTGGGGACGCTGCCCAGCCCCAGCTCCCCCATTGAACCCCACAGAGCATTCCAAGCACTGGGAATTGCTCCCCTCCGCTATGGGAACCACTGGAGAGCGCCGCATTCCCAAGCCCATTGCTCCAGGGAGAGATCCCCAAACCAGTTCTGCCGCTTGCCCCCCACCACCGTGAAGCATCCCATAATAACAGGGGGGGGCAGCAGCTGGAGCAGGTCCCTTCCCAGGGAAAGCATCCCAGGATTCAGGCAGGGCTGGACGGGTTCAACCCTGCCCATGGTTGATGCTGGAGCTGCTCCCATAGGGAACAACGATGCCAAGGAGCCGAGCCCGGGGCAGGGGCGCGTTGGGAGCCCCTTGGGCTGGAATCCCATGGAATCCTTTGGGACTGGGAGCCACCTCCTGCGCTGGGACCGGCTCCAGCAGCGGGCTCGGATCCCCAGGTCAATGCTGGAGCATTCCCAGCGGCTCCATGGGGAGGGAGGGAGGCGGCCGCCGCATCCCTATGGAGACCCCTATGGACACCGGGGAGGGCTTTACCTCGAGCAGCAGAATTGCAGGCGGAGCAGCGCGGGGCAGGGCCGCGCTCCCTAAGGGCCATCTTCTCCCTCTGCCTCTTCCTGCGGTGCGGGAGCCGAGGGTCAGCAATGGGATGGGAAGGGAAGGGAGCGCGGGAGCTGCCCTCATCCCGCTCTTCCCATTGGAATGGGAAGAACAAAGCTCCCAACCGCCCCCCCCCCCAGGGCTCAATGCAACCGAGCCCTTGAGGGAAACCCCCCCTTTGGCTCTTCCCAATGGGAATAAACCCCCCCTTTGGGTCTTCCCAATGGGAATAACCCCCCCTCTGGATGTTCCCAATGGGAATAAACCCCCCTTTGGGTCCTCCAATTGCGAATAAACCCCCCTTTGGGTCCTCCCATTGGGAACAAACCCCTCTCTGGGTGCTCCCAATGGGAATAAACCCCCCTCTGGGTCCTTCCATTGGGAATAACCCCTCTCTGGGTCTTCCCAATGGGAATAACCCCCCCTCTGGGCACTCCCATTGGGAACAAACCCCTCTCTGTGTGCTCCCATTGGGAATAAACCCATCTCTATGTGCTCCCATTGGGAATAACCCCCCCCTCTGGGCACTCCTATTGGGAACAAACCCCCCTTTGGGTCCTCCCATTGGGATTAACCCCCCCTCCGGATGTGCCCATTGGGAATAACCAAGACCCGGTCCCTCCCCACCGCCCCCGGGCCCACCCCGGCCCTTCCGGACTCCGCCCTCCGGGGCCTTCACCCCTGAGGCCGGCGGGGATGGGGCCTCCCCCCCCGCGGCGCTTCCAGCCCCGGCCCCTTGGGAGCAACGGAGCGGAGCCATCGCCCTCTCCCTCCCCCAACCACCCCCAATGGGGCCCAGTCCCGGTTCCGGTTCCGGCCTCGGTCCTGGGCCCGGCCCCGCTCACCGGCTCCCGCCGGGCCCGGCGCGGCCTCCAGCGCCGCTCCGCACCCCCGGAAGCCCCGCCCCGGAAGGGCCGCTCTGTTCCTCAACTCTGTGGATTTCTTCCCTTAAGTCCCGCCCTTCCCGCATCACCATTGGCTCACGGCTCCGTTCTCCTGCGAGCTGATTGGCTGCCCGCCGGTGGTGGATGGGACACTTCCGGGTGTGCCCGCGGTAGCGGCGGCGGTGCGGGGCCAGGTGAGCGCGCGTACAGGGGAGGGGGGCACCGCGGCGTGCGTGCGTGCGCGCCCCCTGGCGGCGGGGCGGCGGAGCAGCGCCGGTCCCGCATCCCCCTGCCTCCATCCTCGTACCCCGGTGCCTCCATCCCCGTACCCCGGTCCCGCATCCCCTGCCTCCATCCCCGTATCCCCCTGCCTCCATCCCCGTATCCCGGTGCCTCCATCCCCGTACCCCGGTCCCGTATCCCAGTGCCTCCATCCCCTGCATCCCAGTGCCTCCATCCCCGCATCCTGGTCCCGCATCCCGGTGCCTCCATCCCCCATATCCCGGTCCTGTATCCTGGTCCCATATCCGGGTCCTGTATTCCAGTCCTGTATCCCGGTCCCGCATCCCGGTGCCTCCATCCCCTGCATCCCGGTGCCTCCATTCCCCATATCCCGATCCCGCATCCCGGTGCCTCCATCCCCTTCATCCCGGTGCCTCCATCCCCGTACCCCGGTCCCGCATCCCGGTGCCTCCATCCCCTGCATCCCGGTGCCTCCATCCCGGTGCCTCCACCCCCGTGTCCCGCCGCCCCCCGCAGAGCCCCGGTGAGCACCATGAGCACCGAGACGTTGGTGAAGGACGTGAAACCGGGGCTCAAGAACCTCAACCTCATCCTCATCGTGCTGGAGACCGGTGCGTGCGGGGCGGGGGCGGTGCGGGGGGGGGAGCCCCGGTACCCCCCGGTACCCCCCGGTACCCCCCGTTCCTGTGACCCCCCCACCCCGTTATCCCCCCCCAGGGCGGGTAACGAAGACCAAGGACGGGCACGAGGTGCGCACGTGTAAAGTGGCCGACAAGAGCGGCAGCATCAACATCTCCGTGTGGGACGACGTCGGGAACCTCATCCAGCCCGGGGACATCATCCGGCTGACCAAGGGGTGCGGGGGGGGGGGGGGGGGGGGGGGGGGTGGGAACCAGCATCTGTGGGGCAGGGATGGAGACTGGGATCTATGGGGTAAGGATGGGGACCGGGATCTGTGGGGTAAGAATGGGACCAGGGTCTATGGAGTAAGAATGGGACCAGGGTCTATGGGGTAAGGATGGGGACCGGGATCTGTGGGGTAAGAATGGGACCAGGGTCTATGGGGTAGGGATGGGACAAGGGTCTATGGGGTAAGGATGGGACCAGGGTCTATGGGGCAGGGATGGGGACCGGGATCTGTGTGGTAAGGATGGGAGCAGGGTCTATGGGGTAAGGAAGGGACCAGGGTCTATGGGACAGGGATGAGGACTGGTGTCTGTGGGGTGTGGATGGGACTCGTGCCTATGGGACAGGGATGAGGAACAGTGTCTGTGGGGTCTGGATGGGGTTGGTGTCCATGGGATAGGGATGAGGAGCAGTGTCTGTGGGGTATGGATGGGACCGGGGGTACCGCTGTCTATGGGATAGGGGTGGGGACTGGTGTCTATGGGGTATGGGATGGGGACTGGTGCCTATGGGGCAGGCATGAGGACCAGTATCTATGGGGTATGGATGGGACCGGGGGTACCGGTCCCTATGGGGCACCCCTGGCCTGACCCCCCCTTACCCCCAGGTACGCGTCCGTCTTCAAGGGCTGCCTCACGCTGTACACGGGGCGCGGGGGGGACTTGCAGAAGATCGGAGAGTGAGGATGGGGCCGGGTTTGGGGGTGATGGGGGGGGTGAGGGGGGGACCCCACTGACCCCCCCCCGTCAGGTTCTGCATGGTCTATTCCGAGGTGCCCAACTTCAGCGAACCCAACCCCGAGTACGCGGCGCAGCAGTCACAGAGCAAAGGGGTGAGGGGGGGGCACAGAGGGGAGGGGGGGGCAATGGGGATGGGGGGCTACAGAGGATGGGGGGCAATGGGGATGGGGGGACACAGAGGGGATGGGGGCACAGAGGATATGGGGGGCAATGGGGATGGGGAGCACATGGAATGGGGGGTGATGGGGATGGAGGACACAGAGGGGATGGGGGCACAGAGAATGTGGGGGGCACAGAGGGGATGGGGGGCAATGGGGATGGGGGGCACAGGGAATGGGGGGTGATGGGGATGGAGGAGACAGAAGGGATGGGGGGGTCAATGGGGATGGGAGGGTCAATGGGGATGGGGGCACAGGGAATGGGGGGGGATGGGGGACACAGAAGGGATGGGGGGTCAATGGGGATGGGGGGTCAATGGGGATTGGGGGGTCAATGGGGATGGGGGTCCCACAGTGGGGATGGGGGGGGGGCACTGCTCTGCCCCACACCGGGGGTGCCCCCATCTCCCCCTCAGGCTCAGAACGAGAGCGCGGCCCCGCCCCCCGCCGCGAGCCAAGGCCCCCCCGCGCCCCCCCCGGGTAGGTCCCACATCCCCTCCCCCCCTTCCCCTCCCCTTGCGTCCCCCCCTCCCCCCCCGCTCCCATCCCGCTGCTCCCTCCCCCCCCCTCTGCTCCTCTTCCAGCCCCCGAGGGCCAGAACGGGAACGGGGCCCCCCCCGCGCACCCCCCCAGCGGCCGCATCACCCGGAGCCAACCCGGGCACCCCCCGCTCAGCAACGGCAAAGAGACGCGGAGGAGCAGCAAGAGATAACGGGGGACCCCCCCCCACCCCCCCATCCCCCCTCGAGTGGGGGTTAATAAAGGCTGAGCCCCTGCCGCTGCCTCTGCCCCATTGCGCGCCCTTTAAGACCCCCCCGCCCCCCATGCGTGGCCCCTCCCTGATGGGAGCAGCCCCACAGTGACCCTTGCCCCCCCCCGGGTTGGGTGCAGGGAACGCGGTGCAGGGACCGGGCCCCGGTGAGCAATGGGGGGGGGGGTGATACCGGTACCGCGGTGCAATGGGGACGGAGGGGGGGTCTATGGGGTGGGGATGGGGTGGGGATGGAGGGGGGGGGCAGCGCCGTTATCACCCCACGGTCAAACATTAACGGGACCCCCCCCCGCAGCCCCGATGGTGCCGCTGCTGCTGGCGCTGCTGCTGGCGCTGGGGAGCGCGGAGCAAGGGGGGTACCTGCGGCTCCTCTTCGGGCACTACGGGGGGGCCAACGGGACGCTGCCGTCCGAGGGCCTGGCGCGGCTGCTGCGGAGCCTGGGGCTGGGCCGGGTGCGGGTGGTGCGGATCCAGCACGAGGAGCTGGGCCACGGCCACGTCACCCACTTGGACCTGCTGGAGGTGCAGGAGGAGCGGCACCGCCACCGGCACCCGCTATGGGAGCACGGCGGGGACGCGGCCACCGCGGACCCCCGCAGGTACCGAGGCTCCGTCCCCCCCCTCCATCCCCTTTCCATCCATGGGGTTCACCCCGCGGACCCCCGCAGGTACCGAGGCCCCGTCCCCCCCCCTCCATCCCCTTTCCATCCATGGGGTTCACCCCGCGGACCCCCGCAGGTACCGAGGCTCCGTCCCCCCCCCTCCATCCCCTTTCCATCCATGGGGTTCACCCCGCTCTCTGCCCCCTCCGCAGCCCCAGACCCACCCGACCCCCGAAACCGGGACCCACCGAGACCCACGGAGCCCCCCCAGTGCCGGGGCTGAGCCTGCTCGGGAGGGTCCTGGGCTTGGAGCCCTCCAGCGCTGAGCACCCGAACCACGACGTGAGCAGGGATCCGATGGGGGGGGGGGGTAGGTGTCATTATGGGGGTACCCCCCCAACCCCCCCGTTGTGTCCCGCTCATTGCCGGCCCCGCAGTGCCTCAACGTGAGCCAGCTCCTGGTGAGCGTGGGGCTGGAGGCGGCGGCGCAGCTCACCCCGGAGCAGTTCTCGCTGCTCTGCCCGGCCCTGCTCTATCAGATCGACAGCAGGGTCTGCATCCAGCACAGCGATGATGTGGAGCTGCCCCCCCCCGGGGGGGGCCCCTGGGCAGGTAACCCCCACACCGGGTCCTCATCGCCCCATCCCTGCATCCCCTGTGCGGGCAGCTCCATCCCTGCATCCCCTGTGCGGGCAGCTCCATCCCTGCATCCCCTGTACGGGCAGCTCCATCCCCTGATGCCCCATCCCTGCATCCCCTGTACCGGCAGCTCCATCCCTGCATCCCCTGTACCGGCAGCTCCATCCCTGCATCCCCTGATGCCCCATCCCTGCATCCCCTGCACCGGCAGCTCCATCCCTGCATGCCCCATCCCTGCATCCCCTGTATGGGCAGCTCCATCCCGTGATGCTGCATCCCTGCATCCCTCAGGCTCTGGTCCCTGAGCCCCTGGTCCCCCAACAGCTGGACCCTGTATCCCCATCCCTGGCTCCCTCACATCCTCCCTGCACCCTCCAGTGTCCCTGCACCCTGAGCCTCTTCTCCCCCATCACCTGGACCATGTGGGCTCCATCCCTGTATCCCCATCCCTGGCTCCCTCACATCCTCCATCATCATCCCTGCATCTTGTCCCCATTCCCATCCTGCATCCCCACGTTCCTCCCTTTCCCCATGCCCCAGCACCCCATGTCCCATCCCTGGGTTCCCTGGACCTGCAGCCCCATCCCCAGGTCCCCATGTTCCCCATCTCTGCATCCTCCAGTGTCTGGTCCTTGTGTCCCTGCACCCTGAACCTCTGCTCCCCCATCACCTGGACCATGAGGGTCCTGTCCCTGCATCCCCATCCCTGGCTCCCTCACATCCTCCCTGCATCCTCCACTGTCCCTGCTCCCTGAGCCTCTGCTCCCCCATCACCTGGACCATGTGGGCTCCATCCCTGCATCCCCATCCCTGCTCCCTCACATCCTCCCTTCATCCTCCAGTGTCCCTGCACCCTGAGCCTCTGCTCCCCCATCACCTGGACCATGAGGGCCCCGTCCCTGCATCCCCATCCCTGGCTCCCCCCATCCTCCCCGCCCCCCCCCCCCCCGGTCCCGCCCCATCCCCGCACCTCCACGTTCCTCCCGTCCCTGCCCGGTCCCGCAGCGCTGGGCTGGGGGCTCCTGGCCGTGGCCTTCATCAGCCTCCCGTCGGCGGGGGCCGTGGCGCTGGTCCCGCTCCTGAGCCGCAGCTTCTTCCGCTCGCTCCTCGCCTTCCTGGTGGCCTTGGCCGTGGGGACGCTCTGCGGGGACGCCCTCCTCCACCTCTGGCCCCACGTAGGTACCGGACCCCCCCCCCCCCATCCCCGCGGTACCGGGGCCGGAGGGCACCGGCTCTGAGCCGCGCATCCCCGGTGCCAGGCGCAGGGGCAGGACCCGGAGGCGGCGGGGACGGCTCCGAGCCCCGCGGTGCTGCAGGGGCTGGCGGTGCTGGGGGGGATTTACCTCCTGTTCGTGCTGGAGCTGCTGCTGGGGACCCTGCGCCGGAGCCGCGAGGCCACGGTGAGGGACGGGGCTTGAAGGGATTGGGGGGGTTTGGGGCTTCCCCCCCCCTTCCCCTTCCCCACCACCCCCGGGTCCGGCTCCGCACCCGACCCCTCTCTGGTGCCCCCAGCAGGGACCGAGCCCGGCTGCAGGCGCTGGGGTCCTGGCGCCGTTAAGAGGAGGTAAAACCCCCCCCCCCCCATCTCCGGTACCGAGCGGCGGAACCGGAGCTCACCCCGGGTCCTCCCCCCCGTCCATGGCAGGGGCGGCGGCACCGGAGGCACCGGAGGCAGAGCTGGAGCTGAGCCCCCCCGGGGCCCCCCCCCACGGACACTCCCACGGCCCCGCGCTGCCCCCCCGCCCCGCGGCCGCTGATGTGGTGTGGATGGTGGTGATGGGAGATGGGGTCCACAACCTGAGCGACGGGCTGGCCATCGGTGAGGGGGCACGGGGGGGGTACGGGCTGGCCATCGGTGAGGGGGCACCGGGGGGGGCACGGGCTGGCCATCGGTGAGGGGGCACGGGGGGGGCACGGGGGGGGCACGGGCTGGCCATCGGTGAGGGGGGCACGGGAATAGGGATGTGCAGGGGTAGGAACACAGAGGGGTAGGGAGGCAAGGGGATGGGGAGGCACAGGACAAGGGATGCATGGGGATAGGGAGTCACAGGGATAAGGATGCAGAAGGGTAGGGATGCACAGGGATAGGGATGCACAGGGATAGGGATGCACAGGTACAAGGATGCACAGGGATAGGGACGCACAGGGGAAGGGCCGCACCGGTACAAGGACAGACAGGGATGCACAGGGATGGGGATGCACCGGTACAGGGACGCACAGGGATAGGGACGCACCAGTACAAGGACACACCGGGATAGGGACGCACCGGTACAAGGATGCACAGGTACAAGGATGCACAGGGATGGGGATGCACCGGTACAGGGATGCACAGGGATAAGGACGCACCGGTACAGGGATGCACAGGGATAAGGACGCACCGGTACAGGGATGCACAGGGATAAGGACGCACCGGTACAGGGATGCACAGGGATATGGATGCACATGGATGGGGATGCACCGGTACAAGGACACACAGTGATAGGGGTGCACATGGATGGGGACGCCCCGGTCCAAGCGGTGCCCCCTGCGCCCCGGGTCCCTGCAGGTCCCGGCTCCAGCTCCCTCTCCCCCCGCTCCCTCTCCCCGCAGGCGCCGCCTTCTCCCACAGCGTCCCCAGCGGGGTCAGCACCGCCCTGGCCGTGCTCTGCCACGAGCTCCCCCACGAGCTCGGTACGGTCCTGACCCCCCCTCCCCCCCCCCCCCGTGTCCGTGGCCCCCCCTCGAGCACCCCCTCCCCTCCCCCCCCAGGTGACCTGGCCGTGCTGCTGCGGGCGGGCACGGCCCCGCGCACCCTCCTGCTCCTCAACCTGCTCTCGGCTCTGCTCTCCTGCCTGGGGGCCGCGGCCGGGGCCGCCGTGGGGCAGAGCGCGGCTCAGCTCACCCCATGGATCCTCACCCTCACCGCCGGCATCTTCCTCTACGTGGCTTTGGCTGATATGGTAAGGGGGCGGCGGTGGGGCAGCCGTGGGGCATCCGTGGGGCGGCCGCTGGGCGGCCGTGGGAAGTGGTGGGGTGGCCATGGGGCAGCCGTGGGGCGACCGTGGGGCAGCGGTGGGGCAGCGGTGGGACGGCCGCTGGGCAGCCGTGGCGCAGCTGTGGGGCAGTGGTGGGGTGGCCATGGGGCAGCCGTGTGGCAACCATGGGGTGGCCGTGGAGCAGCGGTGGGGCAGTGGTGGCCAGCTGCGGGGCAGTGGTGGGGCGGCCATAGGGCAGCGGTGGGGCAGCGGTGGGCGCGGTGGTGGGGCCGTGGGGCAGCGGTGGGGCAGCGGTGGGGCAGCGGTGGGGCAGCAGTGGGGCAGCGGTGGGGCAGCGGTGGGGCGGCCATGGGGCAGCAGTGGGGCAGCGGTGGGGCGCCCATGGGGCAGCGGTGGGGCAGCAGTGGTGGGGCAGCGGTGGTGCGGCCGTGGGTCAGCGGTGTGGCCGGTGCCGGTGCTGAGCCCGCTCTGCCCCAGCTGCCCGAGGCTCTGCGCAGCTCCGAGGAGCCCGGCGCGGGCTCGTGGGGCCGGTTCCTGCTGCAGAACGCGGGGTTCCTGCTGGGCAGCGGTACCATGATGGGCATCGCCTTGGCCGAGGGCCACGTCCGCGCCTGGCTCCAGCCCTGAGCGGCCCCGCAGCATCCCCGAGGGGTTCATCCCCATCCGCCCCCCGCATCCCCGCGGGTCCCTTGAGGGCTCCGGAGCGGGCCCCGAGGCGTTTCCCCTCCTCCCC